AAGTGGGATGGCAGAGGATTAATTCGGACTGTCCTTGCAAAATTGGGACATTTGGAGAATATGAGATAGCATATTATAATATATTAGGACACATACTGTATACAATTATATATACTGGTCTGCATCTTAGGGTCAGATCTGGTTTCCTCTCTCAGCCATTTGACAAGCTGTAGTTGCAGATGTCATATTTCCCCCCTCCTTCCTCTCTTTCCTCCCATTTAATACAATCTGTTTTATTGCTCTGAAACAATCAGGCTGGCTTTTGGCAACAGATTAAGTACGCCCATTCCAGATCTCATTCTCCTCATCTCCAAATGACAGATTGCGAAATGGCGCACACTCCCAAAGCCCAGAGCATCTCCGCGTTTTGCTTCACAACGAAGAAGAACGGCGGCGCACCCGGTAAAGGCAAATCCAGGATCATAAAAGGATGCTGCGTAATTGTCTCTTTTCTCTCCTTGCAATGAGGTGAATAAAAGTTGCATTTGCAAGTCTGGTTTATCTCTCTTGCAAAAAAAACCCGAAACATCATTGAGCTGAATCCTTTGGCTGCAGGAGGGGGAAAGACAAGAGCTTTTTAATGAGCTGATCTGCGGCGTCTGGGGTTAGCTGGCCTAGTGGTTTGAGTGGTGGGGAGACCCGAGTTCGAATCCCCTTTTAGCCGTGGAAACCTCACTAGGTGACCTTAGGCAAGGCACACTCTCTTTGCGTCAGAGGAAAGCAAGGGCAAACCACTTCTGAAAACTCGCTTTTTTACAACCAGGGTATAGTTTAAATGCTGGATAACAATTCCAGGGTTTGAATCCCCATTAGCTACTAAAAGCCACTGGGTGACCTTGGATATGTCACACTCTCTCAGCTTTAGAGGATGGCAGTGGCAAACCTTCTCTGGGAGCTAGCATGGTGTAGTGGCTTGAGTGTTGGAGACCAAATCCCCGTTCAGCCATGGAAACGCCTTGGGTGGCCCTAGGCAAGTCACACTCTCTCAACCTCAGAGGAAGGCAATGGCAAACCACCTCAAAAAAACAACAACAATCTATCTATAGGATATTCTAGAATCAGCGTGGGGCAATGGTTTGACTGTTAGACAGGAATCCACAAGACCAGAGTTCAAATCCCTGTTTGGCTATGGAAACCCACTGGATGATCTTGGGCAAGTCTCACTCTCTCAGCTTCAGAGGAAAGCATTGGTGACAAACCTCCTCTGATTAAATCCAAGGAAAGCCCTTGATGGCTTCACCTTAGGGTCACTATAAATCAAATATGACTCAGAAGGCTCCCAAAAATGATAAATAATGATAAATAATGTGGTTTTTCTGCTGAACAAGCAATGGGCAAAATGCAGCTTGTGGGGTTGACACCTGATTCTCCAAGGCTCTTTTAATGGCATCTCCAGATTAATTAGAAAGCTCTTTCTCTGGCTCAAAAGAGAGAAAAGATTGATGTCCTTTATTTATCTAGTTAGGTAGCGCTCAGGTACCACAATGAACTACAGATCCCAGGATTCCATAGGATAGAGCCATGACCATTAAAGCAGCGTCAAACTGCATTAATTCTGCAATGCGGATGCAGCTTTGGCTGAGTGAAGATCCAAGCCAAAGGGCATTCTCTCTCCAGGAAAGTGTTTTGTTCCTACCTCTGTGCAGCTTTTAGGGAAAATGTAAAGACTTTAATTATTTTTTTTCCCAGGGACCTCCTGAGTAGGTTTTAACTGCTACTCGCTTTGCTTTCCTTTACAGTTGCAACGGGTAATTGCTTCGTCAGTTAAAGATGTTTAGACCGACTAAAAAAGGTGCTGCCAATTTAATGTGGCAATAAGCTTACCTCTGAAAAACATACAAATGGGGTTTTGTGCAAGGTTTATATTAAAAACAGCTGGTGGGAAACACCAGGCTCGAATTGTTGGTTGAACGTCTGCTGGGGAGTTTTGCATTCATAAATGGCTTTGTATGGGCAGAAAATTGAAGTGGACAGCTTCACAACATCCATATTTACTTTGAGGCTGCCGTAAAGTTGCAGCATACAGGCATCTGTTGGAAATGCACTACGATGGATGGCACATTGCAACACTTTGGTGCACTATGGGCCAATATGCTGCAATGGGGCATTGATCTGGACATCTGGACACTGGCTAGGAAGGGTCAGAGCACCACAGAGCTTGCCTGATGTCCATCACAAATGCCCAGTGAGCATCACAAGTCCCTCGTGCGGGCATCAGAAGTGTCTAATTGTGATTTGGAAGTGCCCGATGCACGCACACCAGAAGGTCCTGGTGCTCATTGGAGCACTCTTCCCAGTCTCCAGATGTTCATCTTTGCAATTCACCAACAGGATTTCATTGCATTTCTGCAATGGAGTGACGCAAGGTTGGTATCACCCGCAGTGCAGTAACGCATGCAGTGGCATCTCCATTCTAATTTTCTCCACCCCAGGAAAATCCAGAGCAAGTGGTAACTTACTTTAAACTGGTTTAATGGGAGGAATGGCCCAGATCTGGTGCAGAAGTGGCTTTCCCACATGAAGACAGTCCAAACCTGAATCAACTGCGTCACCTGGAGAGAGTGACATAAGGAGCGAAACTGATTTTAATGGCCCATGTAGACATGCCCTGGATCTTTGCAAAAACAAACCCCCAAAAAATCATATCCAATTCCAATGGAAAACCAGAAAGAGCAAGGTGCTAAATGGGAGGTTGAGATATGGACTTGATTCTGGTCTGGACAAAGTCCAGAAATGGGCCAATCTGCATCCTTGAAAGGGAAACATACCCTCCAACATTTCGCAGGTGAAAACTGTCTGGCCATGTAACACCGGAGTGTCGCCACGATGGCAAAAGTTATGAACCAAAAGAAACACGAAGAGTACTTTGCCTGCAAACCCAGCAACGTTTTGGAAACTGGGACACAATGGGCCAAGCAACGCTAGAGTTTTGCCAACTTGACCACAACTCTAGTGTTGCTTGGCCCATTGTGTCCCAGTCTCCAAAATGTTGCTGGGTTTGCAGCCAAAGTACTTTTCATTCAGCTGGGTTTTAGGCCTCTGAACCATTGCAGACGGAGGCCCTTTTGATGGAGAGGACTTCCATTTTTCTTCTCCGACATGCATTGGTTTAAACGCATTGAAATCCAGTCGTCATTCCAATGGGAGCCTCAACTGAATTGCTCATCTTGTTCTGTTCTTAGTTTTATCTGCTTTTTTTGGACCAGATTGTCAGCTGCCTTGGGACTCAGGTTTGGGAGGGAGGTGGGATAGAAAATAAACAAGGTCCCAAATCCATCCTTAAGAGCCAAAAATGCCTATGTCTGGTGCTGGTTTGATGGAAACCAGATCTCAACATGGCTGAAAAGGAGGAAGTGTCTCTACCCTCCGGAGCCCATTTCCTCCCCTGTTTAGTCTTGCACCGTTGACGTCTCTGGCGATTGTAAATCACCTTTTGACTAGGCTTAACTGAAATGTTCATGGCAGGGCCAATGAGAAAAAGAAAGAGATGGGCCACCATAAAATATCCATGCAATAACCCAAATGTCGACGGAGGTGTGTATTTCTCTGCCCAGCTCTTCTCTATACACAATGTGGCTCCTGTTTACACTGGTCTTCCTTTAACTACCTCTTTCTCAAAACAACCCAGAGATCTGTAGGCACAGGCTGAAATTCCTCAATCCACGTGGATGAAGCAATGTGTATATTTTAGCTTTTCTGCAGAGGAGAACT